TGGACATCATACGTTTATTGAAAATAATGCACTATTATACTCTAATGGGGTTGATGGCATACACGAAAACAAAATAACACATTACACAATACATCACAAAAATAATAAAAAAGACATGAATTTATATATGTACATATCATGCAGTTGTTGAATCCACTCTCCTCAGTGACCAGGACTTTTTAATAAACGGAGCAGCATTCATTATACTCTGCAGTATACTTTAACATCCAATAACATTTAAAAGTATAATGTATACAAGCTGAAGCCCCACCAATCTATTGATTACAGATGTCAATCTTAATTACAATTCTTGAGCAAACATTTATACAATCAAAGCAAGCAAGCCAACCAAACCTTTAAACTACAAGCATTAGGAAAATAGCTCTAAAGAGTTTAATTTCTTAAAGAAAATCTTTTTATAGTTTTCTTGTATATTAATCGCCTTCATGTGTTTATTTATTGTAAATTTTTCTTGTACAAAGTTGATATTTTCTTTCTCTGATAATTCTATATTATTTTCATGTATAATATTTTTGACAAATGTTTACCAAGAATAAGTTTCTGCTTCATCCAATAGTTTTGTTGTGCAGTCAAAGGATTAACTTCAATTAATATAAATGGTTGTTGCTCTAAGAGGCATAACTCCAATTTGTCTGTTTAAATTCTGCTAATGTCCGTATGATTTATCATTTGAAGGTTTTTCCAAGCTCGTGCATCGAAAATGTTTCATTCTGCTTTTGATGTCATGTACTGACAGAGTATCGCCTATTCAGCTGTGTGTTTTGTAAGAATCATTTTTTTCTCTCACAAAAACCGAAATAAACCTTACCATGGAAATAATAAACAGACATATTTGCAAGGTCAACATTTTCCTCAAATGCAAAGTATGAATAAATTTTTAAAGGAACCAGAAAGGAGTAGGTCCGGTAAGGGCCGATTTTGGCCTCAAAATTCAGGTTCATCTGATGAAAGGTTTTGGACACTTTTTAAACACTTAAGTGTCTACTTCAGTCGATTCAATTAGTTTATGTGAAAGATTTGAACTGATTTAGTCAATAAAGACGCTCAAATTCAAGCTTAAATATGAGAAATCTATCAAATATGCCATAATATGTCTTTTTTCAGATGGTTTTTGTCAAAAATGAAAAAGGCCGCATCCGTGTTCATTCTCAACCTTTATATATGTTATGTATTATCATCAAATACAACTTACATTTAAATATTAAGAATGAACAAACATGCGGCCACTTCCATTTCAGACGGAAACCGTCTAAAAATTAACCAAACTGCTAAAATTTCGAAGATTTCAGTAATTTAGCATGACTTAATGATGCTAGTACCCGATACATGTGCATTGTATTGTCAAAAACAGCATATATTTATGTAACAGAAGTATTCTTCTTTCCAATAAATAGCTAAAAATTTACATTTTAACAATTTTGTAAAACTGCTACATTTTGGGGCCAAAAAGGGGTCTTACTGGGCCTACTCCTTTCTAACTGTAAATTTTTATTTTGACATCTCAATAGAATTATCAAGCAGGCAATAAAAAGTTATTGGCAGCTCTTAAAATTAAATTGGAATTCATATTTGTTTCCTGGTGACAGCCCCCGCAATTCTTTTAAAGTCGTATGAAACAAGTTTCTTGTAATTATAACGTGAAAATATGTCCTTAACTAAGTCCGCTAATCACGTTATTTTACATTTATTACGAATCCATAACGTATAATCGGCAAACTAAATTTGCATACAGTGATTGTTGATCAAAAACTTTAGTTGCTAATTAACTCTCTGGTTTTGATGCATGACGATGTTTACCAATAGCTACTTTGATAAACAATCAACACAGAATCATGGAACACGTGAAAAATAAGTGAGATGATAGCATGGATAGAGAAACTTTGTCATGACATCTGTAACATGATTTGGTGAATTAAAATGATTCTTTGAGGATCAATTAATACTATCTTCCTAACTGCTATGTTTGTTTACCTTTTCTTTCATCACGGGGTTTCTCTCGTACTTACGCCGTGCGGTTGTCAATTTTGAACGAGTGGGGTCATGGATAAGGTCACTGCCTACGAAAAAGCCGTCAATTCAATAGCAGAAAATTTCTGAAGATTTGGAGAAGATAAAAGATGTTCTTTTAAATGAAAGTCCATGTACACATATTTCAGGGTAAAACTTAACCATTCAAGTAAATTAAACATATTCAACTCAGTATTTTCTTTATATTTGAAGTTTCACATAACTTTTAAAAAACAAGTACCTATTTTACCATTCCTTTATGAATTAATTTCAAGGGGAAATGCAATGATCACTTCGCTCGCAGTCCGCTGTACGTTAAGCAAACAACAAGCAATCAACAAATCGTCCATTCATGTTTCCGCACTGTTTAACGATACCGATAGAAATTTAGTTAATGAATCCTTACTTTTGAAAATTATGAATATCATGTTAGTCGTTTTAAAGAGTACTATTAAGACTAGGGCGTCAATAAGTATCCATAAAATGTGCATATGTTATTCTAGCAAACGTTTTTGTTCCGTTGCTATTTTATTTCTTATTTACTTCTCGAGTTGTTCATCTTTGATCATGATGCGTAATTACTCACTAACCTCTTGTAAAACATTTCCTTTTGATATGCATACTTAATTATTGACGACATAGAGAAACTGGGGAAAGCGTACTTAAGATTGAACCAAAACTTCATTGGCATGCATAGACAGTGCATCGATGCTTCTCTCCTTTACATAAACCATTTAGATCAATAGTGTGTAACAGGTTCTTACAGAATATTATTCATAATATCTGCCATAAGTGATCATAAGTAGAGCATTTTCTCAGATTCTTCTTATTCACTACTTAGTATAAAGAATTTCCTCAATCAGATTACAAATAGAGACCGTATGACATAAATCAGTTCAATTAAGTGTCTTATTCGTAACAAGTTCTAATAAGTATATATTAAATTAAATATCATTGGCACTCCATTAGTGCGATGTTAGCTTATAAAAGACAGGGAAGATTACTCAACATGCAGACGTGGAGCATCATCCGATTTAAGTTTATAGGATTAATTTACAAATGGATTTCAGATGATGGGTTCTTTTTGTTATATAAGATGGGGATTTTCGTTTTTTCCCTCCCCTTTATTTCGTAAGCAAAAGCACCAGAATTATGGAAAATTAACTTTTTCTAAGAAGCATTGATTTCAGAGGTAATTATTAAGCATAAATAGGATAAGGGCAAAAGGGTAATGACATTGGAGACTTTTAGAATATTTGAGATCGGGTTGAATATTACAATGCTGACAGGTATATATACGGCATTAACATTTGTTTTTACTAATATGAACATTTAATATTTCATTTCAATATGACAATGTTTTACAAAATCATATTGTACTGTTTTGTGTATGCAAATATCATGCTGCCCACCAAGGGCCCTTAATTGGAACAATAACTATTTTTATTCTTATCAATTGTTGAAAATAATTTGACCCTAATTTGTCAAACAAATAGGTACACGTTCTTAAATCTCGTCAATGTTGGAAACGAGGATGAATTTAATAAACATATTTACTCTTTGGTCCATTCTAGTTTTTGTTCTTTTAACGTGAAACTTTCTAAATGAGATATTCTGTGTTTCTAAACCTTTATTCACATCATAGGCTAAAACGAAGTACGTTCTTACTGTTTATAGACCTATGCAGATCCTCTTTTTTAACTCATAGTATAGTTATAAAGTTATCTTTAACCTTGCCATAATCTCTCTTGTAAACTTACATGTAACACTTACACAAAAGAGTAATGTCTCATAAACTCAATGAATGATAGTTTTGTATATTTTATTATTTCTCGTTTTTTTTCTTCAAATTGCCATTGTATACCATTAAACCAAGATTGTATACCATTAAACCAAGATTTGAGGTGTATGGAATTTGCACAAACATTAAGATTCCATGACTTTGGTCAGGACTAAAAGTATATAAATATTGACCAGAACGAAAGGAGTATGCTACTGGACAAAAATCAAAAGTGAATGACCATGGATCAGGATTAAACTTTATACATATGACAAACATGAAAACATAAGACCATTATTTAAAAGTTGTATAATATAATGAAGGAACTAGCAATGTATGATTATGGACCACGACTAAAAGTGAAAGACATAGGATAAGGAAAAAGAGTTTGACAATCAACCAGGATTTTAAACATTGAATGTTGTACAAATGCTTGAAAGTAAGATACACAGGACAAGGAATGAAAGTGTATGACATTGAATTAGGAAGAATATGAATGACAGTGGACAAGGGTTGAAAGTGCTTGACACTTGATCAAGACTTAAAGAAAACCTCAGTTTTCATTCTCAGTTGACCAGTCTGTGACATAAGGCATGCAAGGACTTAAGTGTTATATGACATAAGACCAGAACTGCGTTTTACAAAAACAATTTACGACAAAACATGATCGTAAGTATTCTCAATTGTTCTAGTAAGTATTCTCAATTGTTCATGAATTATGATCAATTTCAGTCGTAAGAGTTTTTGAAAAACGAGGGCAAGGACCTTTAGTGTATGACATTAGGTATTAACTTGAATGTATGACAAGGGACCAACGAGGGCAAGGACCTTTAGTGTATGACATTAGGTATTGACTTAAATGTATGACAAGGGACCAACGAGAGCAAGGACCTTTAGTGTATGACATTAGGTATTAACTTAAATGTATGACAGGGGACCAACGAGGGCAAGGACCTTTAGTGTATGACATTAGGTATTGACTTAAATGTATGACAAAGGACCAACGAGGGCAAGGACCTTTAGTGTATGACATTAGGTATTAACTTAAATGTATGACAGGGGACCAACGAGGGCAAGGACCTTTAGTGTATGACATTAGGTATTAACTTAAATGTATGACAGGGGACCAACGAGGGCAAGGACCTTTAGTGTATGACATTAGGTATTAACTTAAATGTATGACAAGGGACCAACGAGGGCAAGGACCTTTAGTGTATGACATTAGGTATTAACTTAAATGTATGACAGGGGACCAACGAGGGCAAGGACCTTTAGTGTATGACATCATGTATTAACTTAAATGTATGACAGGGGACCAACGAGGGCAAGGACCTTTAGTGTATGACATTAGGTATTAACTTAAATGTATGACAGGGGACCAACGAGGGCAAGGACCTTTAGTGTATGACATTAGGTATTAACTTAAATGTATGACAGGGGATCAACGAGGGCAAGGACCTTTAGTGTATGACATTAGGTATTAACTTAAATGTATGACAGGGGACCAACGAGGGCAAGGACCTTTAGTGTATGACGTTAGGTATTAACTTAAATGTATGACAAGGGACCAACTAGGGCAAGGACCTTTAGTGTATGACATTAGGTATTAACTTAAATGTATGACAGGGGACCAACGAGGGCAAGGACCTTTATTGTATGACATTAGGTAGTAACTTAAATGTATGACAGGGGACCAACGAGGGCAAGGACCTTTAGTGTATGACATTAGGTATCAACTTAAATGTATGACATTAGGTATTAACTTAAATGTATGACATTAGGTATTAACTTAAATGTATGACAAGGGACCAAGACTAAAAAGTGTAAGACATCGAATGGGATTTAAAGTGTTGGACAAAGCATTAAGAGCATTTGACATTTCACAGGACTTTTATATGAATATAAAGAAACGTTTGGTATATGTCAATGAGACAGCAACCCGTCTAGATGACAACATATAGTCTTCAACAATAGACAACTATGTCTATACATTATGTCAAGCTCTAAATAGCTCTAATAGTCTAAATATGTTGTGAATAAAGTAAACGGAAACTATGAAAGATCTCCTATCAACAACAAATTCTTCAAATAATAAAAAGATATTTAGATATGGCACAAAACAACTCTTTTTTTTCTCGACCAGTGGACTTAAAAGGGTTAGTTAAGGAAAAGAAAAATACAGTACAGGAAAAAATTTTAACTCTAAAAAAAATCAGTTGAATAGAAAACAAAATTACAAGTACAAAATAAAATAATAAGTTATAAAATAACGTATATCAAAGAATGCTCACAGTAATTACAAGCCAGCTAAAAGTACTTTAAGATATGTTAATAAGAAACCCTACAGTCTAATATCGGTTGCTGCACTTCATAGAAGATACGATACACGATACGATTTTAAAGTACTATATACTGGACCAGGACTAAAATTGTATGACATTGCATATAAAATCAAAATGAATGACATTAGACCAGGACTAAAATGCATTACATTTGACCAGGACTAAAAGATAATGACATAGGATCAGGACTTTGTGTGTATGACATTGTACCATGACTAACAGTTCATGTCATTGGACCAGGACTTTGGGTGTATGACATTGTACCATGACTGACAGTTCATGTCATTGGACCAGGACTTTGGGTGTATGACATTGTACCATGACTGACAGTTCATGTCATTGGACCATGACTTTGGGTGTACGACATTGTACCATGACTGACAGTTCATGTCATTGGACCAGGACTTTAAGTGTATGACATTCAGGACGATGGCGTATAGTGCATCACAATGGACTTCAAAGAGTACCCCATTTTCTTTTACTCATTAGACCAGTCTTCAGTATAGTAAATTTCTATCCGTAAACATCTGATTTTTGCATACTAGAACATTTGCATGTAAGTAAATGATTCATATTTAAAATCAAATATATTACAAAAAACATTGTAAATTGTTTATACTTACAAAACTCTATTTGTTGTTTTGAATACCCCTCCGAATCGGCAGATTTACTGTCGTGTTTACTATGTCCATGTTTCTGTCCACCAAATATTTTATGTATAAAATCTCCCATTGTCTAAAATGCTGATTGTCTTGTTCTCATTCCTTCAAAATACAAATTGAATGTAAATGATACACAATAAATGAATCAATCCATACTGTAAAGAAATACATGTATCGATTATAAATTACAAGGTCGACGTGGTTCCACTAACTCAAGAGAAGTATAATAACTTTCATATCAATGATAGCATTTATATGAAATAAAAGGAGATATTGCATATAAGTCAACGAAACAGCAACCAAACAACAACAAAAAAACACAAAAGACGTCTAGAGATCAACATATTGTCTGCAACAATTTACAAGTGTCTATATAATTTGTCAATCTCTGAATTGACCACAGTCTAGAAAACATGTGTATAAAAGCAAACATTCACAAAGATCATCCATTCATTCTCTAAATGACATGACGATATAACAAAAGACAAAAACAAAACAAAAACCTTGCTTCGTTTCCAGTTATCTGATATTAAAAAGGTACATTTATTTGCCCTGTATTTTTTTCACTCACTGTTTGAATCTAAAAGTTGTCCTACGTGAAATTTTATATGAAAAAGTTATCATACCACAAAATCAAAATGTTATTAAATGACATATGTTGCGCATATATTCTTTCTTATCACTGTTCTGAATATGAAAAATTAAATGCTGATTTGAGGAGAGGCATGTTGACACGCAATTAAAAAAAAAAGGAAACAAACTTAGATTTTTTTGTAATGTAAACATATTGTATCTTATATCTTATATCTTATATCTTATATCTTAAACCTTATATCTCATATCTTATCTTATATCATGGTTTTGTAAAATTTTGCATCGAAGGACGTCTCTCACCAAAATGAATCAATTAGTATCCAAATTCAATATATAATTTGACTACGGACACAATTTTGGTTTTGATTAAGAATGTCCTTATGCATTTTTTTGGTATAAACCTCAAATTCTCCGAAAACTGTCAAAACTGCGGTTTTAAGCTATCTTACATGTTTTAAGGTGTTGTTTTTCATTGATTTGTTGTTGTTTGTTTTGCGTCCAGTGGCACATATCTCATTCATGTTCAGGACGAGAACAAATTAACAAATATAATAGGTAGGTACTGCAATAGGGGCGGGGAATTTAGAATGCCACTGGAAAACGAGGGTATATGGATATGGACAGACATTAAGCCGTTGCAGGCATTGATTAGTTAACCGTTTATTTTTAAAAAATAAGTCATCATAATGTTAGAACCTCAAAATACTAACACAGAGCTATGATACAGCGAATTTAAGTAAATATTAAAACATTTCTTGAAAATGGCCCTTTTGTGAAATAAATTCCGCAGAAATCGGTCCTCTCTTTTTAATATATGACGACTTCTGTATTCAATAGTTACAAAAGAGTTCATGATAGATATTCACATGCAGACCCTATAGACTGCGTTTCAATGGATAAGAGAGTTTTATATCAAACGTTGTATATTATTGGTATTTCAAACATACATGTTGTAACATTCGCAGTCTGCTAGCTTAGCTTATAGCTTATTTCACGTGTTGCGTAAATTCATCACTGTGCTGTAATATTTTTGTTGATGCAATATTAGCAATATTTTCATATCATGCTGAAGTTGATTGAACGTCCTTGTAAGAATTATCAATAGTGAATAATCCAAAATCATTCGTGAAAACAAAAATTAAAGATGCTCAATATGCTTTAAATCCTTAAACAAATTAAAATCAATATATACACTAAACTATATGTCATTAGAGGAAAATACCATATGGAAATAAAATATATTTTGTTCAATATATGGAAATAAAATATATTTTGTTCAATATATGAAAATAATGTCAATTTTAATAAAACGGATATATACACGATTTGATTGAAGATATTGAAGGTTTTAAATCTAAGAAAATTAAATATGTACATGTATTGATTTTCTACTGCAAATATTTCATATTACCAAGAATGTGTCATTACATCGAAAAAAGGGGGCTATCTTCCTATATTGAAAATGCATCATAATTTGTATTTCTTGCGTGACAAACTGTATTGAACTTATTCTTTGTTACATTGCACTACACTTGGAACAATATTTAGAGGGACAGTCGCCATTAACAACCAATATACTAAAACTACAAGAGTTGTCTAGCCACTGGGTATAGATTGTAAAGTACATTTGTTTTTCCTATAGGCCATAATAGTATCATTTTTCGAGACACAGACTTTAGAAAATTGATTTTTAGAACGAAAATGCTAGAATTAAAGAAAATTATTAGGAAAGTTTTTTAGTCGAAAAAAATATAGGTGCCCGTTGCTTTTTTTAACGCAATTTTTAATTATCTCCATTGCCTATCTTGTTGCAAAGAAAAGACTTAAAATGTTATTTTTCGATCAACCAAGGCCCATAATTCTTGAACAATAAAAGTGAAAAGTAAATGCACGAAAACAACAAAAAGAACCACTTTCAAATCAATCAAGGATCTTAATGATCAGCAAAAGTGGCAATCGTTAATTTTTTAACTCGACCCCAATTTTGTCTTAAGTAATACAATATTAAAACTTGAAAATCATTTGTTGGACGGTTTGTAAGTTATTGCACGGAAACAGCTGGAATGATCAATCGTAAAAAAGCTCATGTGATTTTTTATCCGCGGTAATTGTTGTACTATCGCCTCTGGAAAATGCTGTATTAAATTCGGTTTTCATTACAGCATGGAAGTATAATATTGAAAATATAATACTTTCACGATTACAGCAACGATGGTTTAATCATATTTTTTTCTAACGATCATGAAAGAAACTTAAATATGTCCCTCTCGTAACTCCTGAAAAGCAAGCTGAACTGTCGACTACTGTTCACTGACGATACCCCCGCTATCAGTATTCGGTTAACAGGATGCTGTTTGGCGATAAATGGGAAAACACACTACACAGTATAACATGCCCACGTGAAGCTTGATACCAAATTTCAGGAAGCTGTGATAAGTAGTTCTTTGCGACGAAAATCCGTAAGAATGTATAAGTATTCGGTAAACAGTAAGTTGATGACAATGAATGTGAATGCCACCATACTGTATACTCACATGAATATTGATACCAAATTTCAGGAAGCTCTGATTTGTAGTTCCTAAGAAAATTACGATTAAAATTTCATGGGACGGACGGATGGACATAGGTGAACGTTCTGGGCGGGGATGAAAATAATGAAATTACAACAAAAAAATTACATGCTACTTTAATACAAACTGCCATAGAGCACCTATATACCAGTTTAATTTCGAATATTCATTCAAGGGCTTCCAATTGTTATGTTATTATATGCTTGTCCTGTCAATAACTCTACTCAAATTATATTGAAAATATTGACAGTCAACATTCAGACTAACAATTTGTCTTAAATTAATAGTGTTAACAAAGTAATTCTTTTTTCTGCAATGGCTTTATACATAGCTTAAGTGTATGGTTTGAATGATATTTGTTAACAAAATCAAACTCGTCATTCGGTTTATCAACACGCCAGTTCTGTAGTTACATGGGACTTGTGCTTCGATGAAGCTGTGTCCTGGGCACTTGTGATTCAA